AGCACAAAACAAAGTTATGAGAGAGAAGTTGGCGCTACTGACTTTCTCTTAGTTCTTAGCTTAGCGCATCACTTTCGCCGATTCGGATTCTGATGAAGTCGACGTTAGTATGAGCAAGTCCTTAAATTAATTTAACCTATTAGAAAACCATAAAAACCTACTGAYATAATCTAGTTATTTTTTGTTTTTGTACAAATACGTATACCAGTACGAGAGATTGAAAACAAGAAATGCCAGTGGAAAAAGAATACGCGAAATCTTATCGACTCTTTCTCCGCTGTGTGATGACTGCTGACTACCATCACTGACATCTCCTTCAACATGTTTTTCCCAGCATTCGTCGYTTTGTTTAGCGGGCATTTCCCCTTCAGTTTGTACCTCGTTTTCTATAAAATTGTTCATCCTGTCTAGAGCAATATCCGGTGACTGAGAACGACCATTAAGTGATGGATTCTTTCTGTTCTTGCTTTTGAAAATGGTGGCGATGCGATTGTATGGTGACAAAACTGCTTCGCGTCGTTTCTGTTTGAGAAATAAATTAATGAATAAAAGATAAGTTCTATCTTGTCACAGTTTCKTCAAATTGCATCCAATTCTTCTCTCCAAAAACGTAATCTTTTTTTTAGTTTTTCTCTTTCATTTTTCATACTTTYGGGGAACGATCTGGCTTTTTCAATCGGAAAAAAAACATTGGAAATAGACCCGACGGCGCCGACTGATTATTTTTGGTAGAAAGCAGCGAAAAACCGGTAAATTTCAGCGTGCAGCTGCCAGCTAGCGAATTATCAGAAACCGCAGTAAGTCTAACCTTGGTTGGGTTTACATCTTGATTTTGCTTGTGCGTCAGTAAAAAGACCAGCATACTCTCCACCAAGGTCATAAAAACGAATCCAAATGACACCAACAGGTACCAATCGAGTGCTTTGGGGTAACTGACTTTAGGCATCGAAGCATTAGTAGCACCAAGCAGGAACATGATGGTCAGAATAGTGGTTATTCCCAGAGCCATTCTATCTCCCATATCTCTAGAGTCCATCCAKAGGATGATCCAGCTTAGGATCACAATCAGAATATCAGGGCAATAGGCCTGGATAATGTAATACCCGACGCGGCGGTCCAAGGTGAACTCGATTTTGATAGTAGTGAAGTTTTCTATAAGACATTTTTTGGTAGTGAGAATGAGAAGGAGAAGGGAAGGAGAAGGAGAAGGAGAAGGGGAGGAGGAGGAGGATAAAAGTTTC